ATGCGTGGTGTGCATGGGCCATGTTTTATTGGACATTCGGGTGGTTTCCGCTTTTTTTTACTATTTTAAAGAGGGCTGCTGTGAGCATTTGTAAACAAGTCATTGTGTGGATATATTTTCATTTCTCTTTTTTTTACTGTGTTTTTGTTGATTTTAGAGAGGAAGGGAGAGTGAGAGAGAGAAACATCGATCGCTGCCTCCTGCACGCCACCCTACTGGGGAGCAAGCCTGAAACCTGGGCATGTGCCCCGACTGGGAATCAAACCAGCGACCTTCTGGTGCACTGGACAACACTCAGCCAACTGAGCCACACTGGCCAGGACTTCATTTTTCTTCTTACATAGATACCTGTAGGAGTGGAATTGCTGGGTGAGCATCTTTGTTTTGCCCACTTATGAGTATAGCTGTTGAAGAGAAAAATCAACAGATAAACATTTTGAAGTTGGTAGATAATGCCAAGTTGCCCTTAAAAAGTGCAGTGCCATGTTTTTATTAATGGTACCAGTACCTGTCTCCTCGCCTCCTACCATGCAGGCACTGTCAAACGTCTTGATACTTGCAAGATGAGTCTGAGATAAGAAATGTGTTCATTACCTTTCTTACGTTTTTTAAATATTTTCATTGATTTTTAGAGAGAGGAAGGGAGAGAGAAGTAGAGACATCCACGTGGGAGAGAAACATCAATCGGATGCCTCCTACATGCCCCCTACTGGGGATTGAACCCACAACCCAGGCATGTGCCCTGACCAGGAATCCAACCAGGACCTCTCAGTCCATGGGACCACACCCAGCCCACTGAGCCCGGCTGGCTGGGCCTTTTTTACATTTCTTAAAGCATAACTGAACTCTTTTTTTTTTTTTTTTAATGTAGTCATTTGCTTTCTTTTTTCAACTGCTTGTTTCTTTTGTTTTGTTTTGTTTTTTGCCTGCTTTTCTGTTACATTATTTGTCTCTTACTGATTTAAAGCAAATTTGCTCTTTTCCCTGGGTTACAGATAATTCTTCTGGGTTGCTGTTTACTTTGACCTTGTTTGTTGTCTTTTTGTTGTTCTGAGGCCTCGACTTTCTGCCTGTGCAAATGTATTTGTCTTCTCTCGTAAGGCTTCAGAGCACTGGAAAGGCGTGTCCTGTTCCGGCCCACAGGACAGTCTCCCGTGGCATCTTCTAGGTCTTTGGGGTTTTACATGAAATTCTTCATCCACCTGGAATTTGCTGTGATGTAAGATATCTTCCATTTTTATCACAGACTGGAAAATATATTTTTCCTGTGTCCTTACTTATTTAGAGGGACTTACCGACATATTTATGAGTGAAATGTCAGGATGATGACCTTCTTTGAAACTTCAGAAGAGAAAAAAAAATTGGTGAAGCTAAATGGCAGAAAGTTAATGTTTGTTAAGTCAGGTGGTGGGCTATGGGAGACTTCATCATACTATTTTCTTTCATGGGTGTTTGCAGTTAAAAATAGCTTTGCTGCCCTGGCCAGTGTGTCTAAGCGGTTAGCACATTGGCCCACAGAGGGTTGAGGGTTTGATTCTTAGTCAAGGGCACATACCTGGGCTGCAGGTTCAATCCCTGGCCCTGGTCAGGGCACATAAGGGAGGCAACAAATGATGGTTCTCTCTCTCTCTCTCTCTCTCTCTCCCCCCCCTTCTCCCTCCCTTCCATTCTCTAAAAATCAGTGGGAAAAATATCTTCAGATGAGGATTAAAAGAAATAAATAAAAATAGCTTTGCCGGTTTGGTTCAGTGGTTAGAGCATCGGTCCACGGACCAAAGAGTCATGGGTTCAGTTCCAGTCAAGGGCATGTACCTTGGTTGCAGGAGGCAACCAGTTGATGTGACCCTCTCACATCGATGTTTCTCTCTCCCTCCCTCCCTCCCTCTGACTCTATATCTAAAGATAAATGGAAAAATATCCTCTACACACCACACCCTCTGTGTTTAAAATTCTGAACGTGCTCTCGTCTGCTTTTTTCCCCCATTACAATTTCAAAAACCTTTTTCCCAAACTCACCACTGGGTGGAAAGGCAAGCAGACACCCTGCCCGTCAGCTCTGCACTTCACCGCGTAGGTGTCTCCTTGGTGCTTGAGCACAGGCACTGCGAACGGGGTTCAGAGTTGCTGTCTTTTTTTTATTTTTAATCCTCACCCAAAGATGTTTTCCATTGATTTTCAGATAGAGAGGGAGGGAGGGAGGGAGGGAGGGAGGGAGGGAGGGAGGGAGGGAGGGAGGGAGGGAGAGAAACATATGTGAGAGGGACACATCAGTCGGTTGCCTCCCGCATGACCCTGACCAGGGCCAGGGATGGAACTGCAACCGAGGTACACGCCCTTGACCAAAATTGAACCCATGACTCTTTCGTCCACAGGCCAATGCTCTAACTGCTGAGCCAAACCGGCCAGGGCCGGTCTTTTTTCTTTTGGGATAATATTTACATACAGTGGCATGTACAGATCTTCAGTAAAGATTCTGCGAGTCTAGACAGATGCACATACCTGTGTGACCTGAACTCCTGTCAAAAAGTTTACCATCACTCCAGAAAGCTCCCTCATACTTCCCAATCAGTCCCAGCTCCCTGCCGCCCCTACAGGCAAGCAGTGTTCTAGGCTTTCTCTAGTATGGGTTACATTTGCCTGTTCTAGAATGTCATGTAAACGGAGCATGTTGTATAAGGTTTCTTCCAGCCAAATGTTTTTGAGATTTATCCATATTGTTGCAGGTCTTCATTGACCCTTGAACAACACGGGTTTGAACTACTCAGGTCCACATATCACGGATTTTGTTTGATAAATACCTGTGCTGTTTCCATCTGCGGATGCAGAGGACTAACTGCATGCATTGGTCTATGCCATCTCGTATAGAGGACTTGAGCATCTGAGGATATTGGTATCTATGGGGCACTGAACCAATTCCCTGTGGTTACTGAGGCTTGTTAAGTTTTTGGAATCAAAAGTAAACACTCGGATTTTCTACTCCGAGGGTGTCACCTGGTGTTCAAGGGTCACCTGTGTATGACTGTTCATTCTCTGATTCATGGAAGTCTGGGCTTTTCCAGTTTTTAACTATCATGAATAAAGCTGCTAGACACATTCTTGTACGGCTCCCTTTGTGGACATATATTTTATTTATCTTAGGTAAATGTCGAATAGAATTTGGGATTCGTTTGCTAAGAAACTACCCAGAGTCTCCTAAGTGGCTATCCCATTTCACGCCCCCTCCGGGGCTGTGTGCGAGTCTGGTTGCTCTGCACCCGCACCGACGTGGGGGTGACCGTCTTTCTAATGTGAGCCGTTCTGGTGAACATGTGACAATTCTCATCGTGGCTTCCATCTGAATGTCCCTGGTGACTGATGACGTCGGGGCTCTCGTGTCCTTGTTAGCCATCTTTTACCTTTTGTGAAAAGTCTGCTAGATCTCTTGTCCCTGTTTAATTTGTTGTCTTTTATTACTGAGTTGTCAGAGTACTTTAGATATTCTGGGTACTAGTTCTTTATCAAATAATGTCTTGTGAATATTTTTTTCCCTGTCTGTGGCTTGTCTTACCTGTTGAGTTAACATAGTGAATTTTGATGAAGTCTGATTTATGTTTGTTTTTTTTCATTTATGATTCTTGCTTTGTGTCCTTTCTGAGAAACCTTTGCCTACCATAAAGTCATGAAGATTTTTCCAGTGCTTTCTTTGAAAGCTGTGTAGTTCCAGCTTTTATATTCAGTTCAGTGATCTGTCTCAATTACTCTCGCTGTGTGGTATGAGGTAGGAGTCAAGGCTAATTTTTTTCTCATTCAGCCATTTGTTGGAAAGATTTTTCTCCCCTCATTGGATTGCTTTTATGCTTAAAACAATTAAGTGTGGGTCTGTTTCTGCTCTGCATTTTTTTTTATTGATTATTTGTCAATCTTTGTGTCAGTGACAGGCTGTCTGATTTATTGTAGCTTTCTTTATATACTAAGTTTTGAAGTCATGGTGTTAGCCCTTCAATTTTGTTCTTTTCCAAGATAGCCTTGGGTATTTTAGATCCTTTGCCTTTCTGATTTTAAAATCCGTTACTGTCAACAAAAATGTCTGCTGGGATTATGCTTGGGACTGCATTGATCGAGAGATAACTTGAGGGGCGGTGTTGAGTGATGGACGGGTACGTGCTCGAAACACCTGGCAGCACTGTCCTTCCCATGGCTCAGGTAGATGGGCTGCAAGCGAAGCCAGTCTAGACTGTTGTTCTCTCATTTTCTGACCTTGCCCTGGGTAGTAAGGAGAGATTAGGGGTTGGGGGGTGAAGTAATATCTGTGCGGGATCCACTGTCCCTCCACTTTCTGTGCAGGATACTGTCTGCACGCTGTGTTGTGCTCAGTCTTCTGAGTGGGGGTCCCCTCTCTAACGGGAGCAGGGAGCTGAGGGTAGAGCACTGGTCTGGGCTGGCATCAGCCATCCCTCCAGAAAGTACAGAGAGTGGCTGTCATTCCTGTTTCACATGAGGAAACAAGACTGAGGAAGTGAGTCGTTCAAAGAATATTTGGGGGCCCATCATGTGTCAGGTGCCATTGAAAGGGCCAGAGAGACAGCTCTGAGCAGGAAGTGCAGCCTCTGTCCTCATGGAGCTCACAGTCCAGACCATGTACAGGGAGCACCTTGGGGGCAGGTACATAGGCGACGACAGGTGACCTCCAGGGAGGAAGGGACCAGGACAATGTGGAGAGGAATCAGGAGGCCTCCCTTTGACAGTGGGGGTGGGGCCTCTGGAGGGTGGCGGGCCTTCCTGGCAGGGAGACCCTGAGAGTGGTGTGTCCGTGGCTCATAAGCGATTAATTTGACTCTGGCCTGTCTACCCCAGAGCTCGTCACACTCGGGTGCTGCCGTGGGGTCACCCCACAGCCCGGCCCATCACCAGACCCCTGCCGCGGAGCCCTGTCGTGCCTGCCCTAATCTGCACTGAGACGCGCATGTGTGCACGCGCGCGCAGACCGAGCCTTTGATGTGGGTACATTTTTCTGCTTGCAGCTGACACTGAAGACGTGTGCATCGTGGAAAGACTGTTCTCGAGCAGCTTGGTAGCCATCGTCAGCCTCAAAGCTCCTAGGAAGCTAAAGGTTTGCCACTTCAAGAAAGGCACTGAGATCTGCAACTACAGCTACTCCAACACGATACTGGCTGTGAAACTGAACAGGCAGGTGAGTGACGTGCCTCTTCGAAGCAGACTGTTCTGTCCCATGTCTCAGTTTTGCCGTACAGCTGTGGGGTTCCCTGCCCTTCCAGAGCAGCCTCCAGCACCTCCAGGACAGAGCTGGTGGTCCTCAGCAAGTGCTTCGGTCCCTCGGCCATCTGCTCCAAGGCCCTGCTCGCCTCACGCACCAGCCTGCCTCGGCTCCGTTTTCAGTGTTGCTCAGATCACTACCACCTAGTGAATCCCCTTGCTCCCTGCCACCTGCTTTACTCACCCTTTTGGCAGGAGTGTCTGCACCAGGTCCTCAGACAGTGTCGTCCCGTTAGGACTATGACATGCCTTAGGCGCTCACCTCTGGCTTCTGTCAATTAGCCTGGGGTAAACCTGGTTTCCTCCCACGGCATTTAGCTTGAAGTCGCCATTTCCAAGAACTGTCGACTGTTAAGTGAGGACTAATTGAAAGTCTATATACTTGTCCTTAGACTTGAATCATAGTTTAGTTCACTTCTTTTGCTTTTAAAAATCTAAAACAAAAAACAAGCAAAAAAAATACTGCCCTGACCAGTTTGGCTCAGCGGTTGAGCGTCGGCCTGCAGACCAGAGACTCCCAGGTTCGGTTCCCGCTAGGGACATGTACCACCATCAAAAAAAAAAAAGTCTGTCAGCATCTTTTTCCTATTTTGAACTGGTAATTTAATTTTTTATTTAAGATGATGTATGTTTACTACTTTCTGTGTCTTCCCCAAAACACAAGAGTGTCTGGCCCAGAGTGTGGATTTGGTGACTGGCACTTGAGTCACTTCATGGGACTCATGGCCTGTGCTTACCCACAAACACCGCACTGTCTCCGGTCCTCCGCGTGCTCTGCTCCCCGCCGAGGACTCTGCGGGGAGGGCGAGGAAGCGTGGGCCGTGTGCACAGCCAGCGGGTCCTGCAGTCACAGCAGAGGCCCGCTGACCTGGCTGCAGCTGGGAACTGGTCTGTTAACTGAAAAAGCTGGTTACAGTAGGATGCTACGAGGCACAGCGTGTTGACCTTTCGAAAACTGAAGGCACAGCACGCCTCGTGGGGGCTGGCGGCTGTGCGCCAGGTGGTCTTTCTCGCATACACCCTCTCCTTGGCACACCCCTCCAAGCACGCCCATCTCAAATGCAGCTGCCCTGGCCAGCTTGGCTCAGCGGTTAGTGTATCGCCCCGTGGACCAAAGAGTTGCGAATTCGATTCCGATCAAGGGCATGTACCTCTGTTGTAGTTCAATCCCCAGCCCTGGTTGGGGTCGTGTGGGTGGCAACCAATCAATGTCTCTCTCTCACACCACTGTTTCTCTCTCCCTCCTCCCACCCACTCTATCTATCTGAAAATCAATGAAAAAATGTTCTAGAGTGAGCATCAAAAAATTATAATAATAAAATGCAGCAAGACCCTGGACACCTGCAAAACAGCCTGTGCGCAGGATGGGTCTTTATACTTCTAAGAAACCCCTAGGCTTTTACCTGCATCTTGCCCTGCCTAATTCAGCACCGGGGCTGTTGTTTTTTATTCTCACCTGAGGATATTTTTCTATTTATCTTCAGATAGAGTGGGAGGGAGAGAGAGAGAGAAACATTGACGTGAGATGGACACATCAACTGGTCGCCTCCCGCACAACCTCTACCAGGGCTGGGGACAAACCACAACTGAGATACATGCCCTTGACCGGAATCAAACCTGCAACTCTGGTCCACAGGCTGACGCTCTACCGTTGAGCCAAATCGGCCAGGGCCAACACAAGGTTTTTAATTACCAAGCCCATCCAAACCCCTCGATCTAGTTTTCATGAGGGCAGCAGGGTGAGGGGTGAGAGAAACAAAATAAAAAACATGCTCTGTCACTGTGTTGCCCAGTTTCTGTGACATGGAATGAAGCTGCGTTGTTAGACATCCTAGCACGAGCGGCAGAAACTGACAGGACAGGCCCTAACCTGTGGGTGAGGAGCAGGGTGCTGGGGAGAGCTGCCAGGTAATGCCAGTGTCCTGCTTGGGTGTCCAGGCTGAGTGTCCAGAAGGAAAGCAAAGCGTCTGAATCCAGGAGTCCACTGAGGGGAGACAGCATGCAGGGTTTGGCTCTTTCCTTACATCTGCTTTTCTGGGTTCCTTCCTTCTAGAGGCTCATTGTGTGTCTGGAGGAATCTCTGTACATACACAATATCCGGGACATGAAGGTGCTGCACACCATCCGGGAGACGCCCCCAAACCCAGCAGGTGAGTGAACCAAGGAGAGAGCCCTGCTTTTCTGAGTCTCCTTTGAAAGGCAGCCAAAGTTGAGAGGTTTCTGCTCGTTAGGAGGTCCTGCAGATGTGTGTTGGCCTTAAACCAAGTTCCCTTCCTCTTGACACTGGTCTTATGACCACCTCAATCGGTTTGATCAGCTTCCAATTTTGAGCTCACCAATCACTTTGAACCAGAGGCCTTTAATCTGCTTTTACAACCCTGCTGCCACCTGAGGTGGGACCTAAACACCCAGCAGCACCCAGGCCAGGCTGGGTTAGCCCTGACTTCCACACTCTTTGTTAAGTAAATGCTGTTACGTCTGCCAGCTGCAAAGGACACAGGCCCTGACGCTGTGTTCCGTGTGTCCTCAGGACTGTGTGCACTGTCCATCAACAACGACAACTGCTACCTGGCGTACCCCGGCAGCGCCTCCATCGGAGAGGTGCAGGTCTTCGACACCATCAACCTGGTGAGGTTCCTCTGGTACTGAGCGCCCTTCGAGATGGGCCTCGTTCCCGAACTGAGTGCTGTGGGGCCTCTGGCCCTCTGGTCTCCTTGGCTCAGCGGTGCAGTTCTTGCTGCTGGCCTCTTGGTGGCAAAGCAGGTGTGGGCGGTTCTGCACGCGTCCCTCCACCAGCTCCTACAGTAGGAGTGCTGAACGCAACAGGGAAAACTCCAGACACCCTATAAACTGCGTTGCTTTTTTAAGGTTTTGAGCACCTTTCCTTGGCCCCCAGCCCAGTAAATCAGGTGGATTTGGTGTGTGTTGACTGGCTAGTAGTCACATTTGATTGGTTCTCCCTTCCAGAGAGCTGCCAACATGATCCCCGCTCACGACAGTCCTTTAGCTGCGCTGGCTTTTGACGCCAGTGGAACCAAGCTTGCCACTGCTTCTGAGAAGGTAAGGCTGCTGGCCCCGTGGAAAACCAGTGCAAAAGCTTCAGCAAGCGTCAGTCCCATCCGCAGCCAGGCTCCCAAACAAGTCTCCGTATCAGCCAGTGCACAGAGACGCACAGGCAGCAGCCGGCTGACGGCTGGGAGGTGTGCTGCCTGGGAGTGGGCTCTCCGACCCGGGAGCCGGGGCACGTTTGGAACAGGAGACCCAGTGCCCTGCGTGTGCAATGACCACGCGACACGCTGTGGTGCAGAGCACTCCGAGGTGAGGAGTGGCGAGGCGAGAGGTGGGTCTGTGCAGAGCTCATCTGGACACAGCTCGGTGTCTTCCTCTCCTTCTGTGCAGTAGGGTGTGGCCGTGTCCTGCGTATGGCTGCCTCCTTTCCTGCGCTGCACAAGGTCGCAGTTCTCTCGGCTGAAGAAAACACCTTCCCTGGCCGTACAGTGTGCATTTGTGATTACTTCAACATCATTCTTGGGATATTTCTATTGTTTCCGATATTTAGGATGCGTTAGAAAAATATGCTAATGTATAAGTATATGTGTCAGTAGTGATATTTAGACCACAGATAATTATATTCGTGTCAAATGCAGATCTATCGTGTGCATCTCACATTATTCAGAGTCCAGTGGGGAAGGTCTGGTTAAAGGGAGTGGCCTCGTCTGCACAGGAGAAGGCGGCCTTGGCAGTCTCCCAGCAGACCTCTTCTCAGCCTCTGCGACACCGAGGGTCCTGTGCTCTCTCTCCCTAACTTGAACGGCTACATCTTTTTCCCTTGCTGTTCCTCTCTCCTCAGAAGTTCTATTCTCTGTCTTCTCTTGGGGATCTCGTGTTCTCCTGACTTGCTCCCTCTTCTGAGCCCGGGACTTGCCCCTCAGTTGCCTCCTGCCTGAGTCACTGTGATGCTTTCGTGCTGAGAACCAGAAGTGGCCTCCCCTCCAAAGCCACCGGTTCCCGAGAACCCGAGAACTAGCCAGACAAGATACAGCGAGTCGGCTCCCTGCTCCAGCTTCCCCATGCGGGTCTTCATTCTTTTTTTTTCTTTATTTTCCTCACCCAGGGACATTTTTGCATTTATCTTCAGACAGAGCAGGAGGGAGAGAAGGAGGAAGAGAGAGAGAAACATGGATGTGAGAGACACACTCCTCACCTCTAAGTGCTCTGCACCACAGCGTGTCGCGTGGTCATTCCACACCCACATGACCCCAACCAGGGCCAGGGACAAACTGCAACCGAGGTACATGCCCTTAGCGGGAACCGAACCCGGGTCTCTCTGGTCTGCGGGCTGATGCTCCAACCTGCTGAGCCAAACTGGCCAGGGCTCATTCTCGAGTCTCATACCCAGTTTCTACAGTAACGATGCTGCCGTTCATGGGTCTCTTGTGTCATGAATTATACTAAACCCTTTATATCCATTACCTCATTTGATCCCTTCAACAGGGATTTTTCCTTTTCATATCGAGAGCTCAGAGAGGGTGAGTAATTTACCCAGGGTTAGCCAGCTGGACAGAAACAGAGGGATTAGACTCCACACCCAACTTTGCTTTTGAGTCCAACTGTTACAGTGCCATGTCCTTTTCTTCTCCCCGGGGAGCATGGAAATGGCCGTGAATCCCTGTTGCCCCTTGATTGATCAGGGTTCTACTTTTATGGTTTTTAGTAGAGCTTACGAAGTCACTGAAGTGTTCTGTGGAATTCCAAGGCCAGTGAGCATAGAGCAGCTTCCCCGTGGCTGTAAAGGCAAGCTCAGGACTTGCTCTCAGACAGAACCTCCCGACTCGGTGCTGGGTGCTGGGTGCTGGGTGCTGGGTGCTGGGTCCTGGACAAGCCTGGCGTGTGTCTCAGTCCTGCCTTCGGGGAGCTTCAGCCAAGCTGTGACCAACAACTTGTCATTAGTATTGCACAGGGGTGTGCTGTTGGATAACACGAGGATACATCTGCAAGTAAGCCTGAAAGCTGAAGCTACAGAAGGCAGGATCTTGGCTGTGGTTGTGTGTGTGTGTGGAAGCACTGCTTCCCTCTGGTTCTCGAGCGTCAGCCTCAGCGGGTGTCCTTCCACCCCAAGAGAGTCGCTGTCATTAAAAGGGGCCGGTGTTGCCCTGGCGATTTGGTTCAGCGGTTAGAGCATTGGCCAGTAGACCAGAGAGTCCCGCTGAGGGCACGTACCTTGTTGCAGTTTGTCCCTGGCCCTGGTTGGGGTCGTGTGGGTGGCAACCAGTCGATGTGTCTCTCACATCGATATTTCTCTCTCTCCCTCCTGCTCTATCTGAAGATAAATGCAAAAGTGTCTTCGGGTGAGGATTTAAAAGGGGGAGGGCGCCAGTATTGCTTCTCTGCACCTCTCCAATGGCTGGGCAGCATCCTGTCTGCTCCCTGTGGGGCTGCAGCAGGGCACTCTCTGGGCTCTCCACTGCCTCAGCAGGGACGGCGCCCTGCGCTTCACTGCCCAGGCGGGTCTCGCTCTCCCAGATGTCCAGTCCGGTCTCCCCGCAACCCCGAGGAATGCTTGGGGGGGGGCAGAAAGCTGACGACCTAGACACCTCGGGCCTGCACAGAGAGGTGCTGCAGCTCACCGTGGATTCGTGTCTCCTTTCGTCCTGGTCAGGAGACGTCTCAGACAGGCCTCCACGTGGTGTAGGTTGGCCTGGCTCCTTCTTAGGGGATAATAACGCCTCCAGCTAACCAGATCCCTTGATCAGTAGCTCAGCATGGCAAGCAAGGACTCTGGGTCCAAAAGTGCTTCCCAATGTGGAGCACACGCTTAGAGGGTTTGTTTCTAATAGTTTAAACTTCAAGTGACTTAGGAAAAATAGAACGACTGTATTTCCTATTTGTCTTCAAGACTCTTAGTGTTTAGAGTAAGTGGTGAGTGAAGTGGTGAATAGGGTGATGCTCTGGGACCCTCGTGGCAGAAAGCGGGAGGTGGTTGTGCAGAGGGCTGCTGGGACTGGCCGGGAGCGGCTCGGACACCCGCGGGCCGGCCTGCCGCACTGTCATGGAAACCGTGCCATGTTCCATTTAGTCTGGCAGGAAAGAAGTGGACATCATTCGTCTCTACTCGGCTAAAATCCTCTTTTTTCCGTCACAGGGGACCGTGATTCGGGTATTTTCCATTCCAGAGGGACAGAAACTCTTTGAGTTCCGGAGAGGAGTTAAGAGGTAAAGTATATAAATCTCCAAAATTGGATCCATAGCTTCTCTTTAGACTTCAGTTCTATGTTCTCTGTAACCAACAAGTGGAATGTGAGCCCTGGGCACCCGAAGCAGCAGCAGGCACTGCAGCCCAGCGGGTGGTCGTGGGAGGCAAAGCGACCTTTTCAAGGCAAGCTGGGTGTCATTCGCCCCTGCCCACCTGGACGCAGAGCGACGGCCAGATCGGGGGGGAGGAGCAGCAGAGGCAGGCCCCTGGGCCGGGTGCATCCTCGGCCTGCACTGTGGCGCTGGGCTGAGGACCTCTGACCTGGTTAGCAGGCTGCTGTCCGTACTCTGCTCTGAAAACTGACCAGCTCCCCCACCTCCCCTTTCACCCTAGCAAATGGCTTTGGCTCTTTAACAGCAAACCCAAACCGTAAGTCATGGTGTGGAGCCCCTCACCCCCATCCATCTGCAGACCTTGCTTGGAGAAGGGGTGCTGCCCTGGTTACCCACGGGTCCTCTGCCTCAGGACTCGGAAGAGATGGGGATCTGGGCTCCAGAGCCAAACCCCAGGCCCCACTTGTAGCCTCATAGCCTTACTCGCAGTGCTTGCCCTCTGGGACTCGGTCCCTGTCCCGGTCAGGCCGCTGGCAGACCCCAGCTCCCCAAGGTCAGAAGCTGGACCAGGAAGTGCTGATGCTGAGGACGTGCTCCAGAGCTTGTAACTGCGTGTGTGTGTGTGTTGTGATCTCGTCCCCATCCCGCCATGTCACCCCCACCTGTGCTGTCAGTGCCCCCTCTCCATGGGCTGGTCCCCACAGATTGCAGTAAGCTTCATGTCCCATCTCCAAAGCCAGGTGTTCAGCCCCTCCCGTTACCTCCCCTTGGTAAATATCGCCACTGTCTATCCACCCAGCACTCAGGACCCGACACTGGCTCCTTTCTCTCATGTTGTGCGTCTAGTTAGGCCACAGGCATGCTGGCTCTCCCAGGGTTGTCCCACCCACTCCTGAGCTCTCCCCTTGTGTCCTGTCCCAGCTTCCTCCCCTGCCCCATTCAGATCACCCTCTGACCTCGCACTCTGCCTGGTCTCTGTCTTTTCTTTAGACTTCACCCCAGGCTGTTCTTTGAGGCTGTGCATACAATTAGAGCACACGGCCAAAGGAGCTTGCCTCCTTTTGCCTATAGGGTGAGCTCGACTTCCAGCCTCTGGCCCTTCTGCTCCAGCTCTTTGATTTCCTTCCCTTTCGCTCCCCGTCCCAGCCGCACTACATTCAGTTCAGTTCCTCAGAAGAGTAATCCCTGTCTCCACGGGGCTCTGGCACGTGCTGTCTCCTGGGCTTGGACTGTGGTGTTGGTGACCTGGACTCCTGAACCCTTTGAGTCTGCGTCAGGTGTCCCTCGGGAGGCCTTTCCCTGCCCCCTACTTCTGTAGTGCCTTCCACATCTGTCACTGATCCTTTGCTGGCAGGCTGTGCAGTGTCTGCTTACGCCTCGCTGGAGGCTCCAGGAGGGCAGGGCCTTCCTTGTCTTGTCCCAGTGCCGTGCTGCAGGGCTGGGTGTGGGAGCACTCAGCGAGAAGGGACCGAGACTAGGACCCTTCCTGTGGACAGGGCCAAGCATGGGTCTAGGGCTCGGGGGAAATGCAGGGTTATTTGCTGGCTTTAGAGTTTTTACAACATACTAGAGAGATTTAGTGTGTTTAATGGTGAAAGTGTTATTCTGTTAAACATTATCAAGGTTGCCAGTTTACCCTCTATGTGTTAAACATGGCTGTAATGCCCTGGCCAGTGTGTCTCGGTGGTTAGCGTTGGCCCACGAACCAAAGAGTCACAGGTCGATTCCCAGTTAAGGGCACGTACCTGAGTTTCAGGTTCCCTTCCCCTCCCTCCCTTTCACTTTGTAAAAAAATCAATAGGAAAAATATCCTTGAGCCCAGCCAATGTGGCTCAGTGGTCGACCCATGCACTAAGAGGTCGCCGGTGTGATTCCTGGTCAGCACACCTGCCCAGGTTGTGGGCCAGATCCCTAGTGACCAGTCACTGTTCTTTCTCATCAGTGTTTCCATTTCTCCCTCCTTCCTTCCTCTGTATATCAATAAAGAAAAGATATTCTTGGGTGAGGATTAACAAAACAAAAAAGAATTCTGTAATTTCAAGAAAATTGGCTGTTTAAGAACGTATTCAAGCCCTGGCCAGTTTCCTCGGTGGTTAGAGCATCAGCCCAGGGACCAATGAGTCTCGGGTTTGATTCTGGTCAAGAGCACGTGCCTTGGTTGCAGTTCGTCCCCAGCCCTGGTTGGGGTCATGCGGGAGGTAACCTGTCCGTGTCTCTCTCACATCGATGTTTCTCTCTCTCTCCCTCCCACTATATCTGAACAAAACTGGAGAAATAGCCTCAGGTGAGAATTAAAAAAAAAAATTACTAAAGAATTACTCTTACTTGGTGATACCTTCCAAACATTTTTCTCTCAAGAAAATTTTCGAGGAGGTGACTAAAAAGGAAGGAGAAAGCTATAGACCCAAGTGAGGGGACTTTTTTCTCTGTGGCACTAGTTGAAAGTCCCTCAGGGAAGTGGCTGGTCGCCCTCAGTGTGTCCAGATGACGGCTTGACCCGGCCCTCCCCTCGTCCGCAGGTGTGTGAGCATCTGTTCCCTGGCCTTCAGCATGGATGGCATGTTCCTCTCCGCTTCCAGCAACACGGAGACCGTGCACATCTTCAAACTCGAGACTGTGAAGGAAAAGTGAGTTGCAGGGACCCATCTGTTTAAAACATCAGAGCTGGTCCAGCCCACAGGGAAAGCGTGCGCGCAGCCGTGCCTGCTCCGCCGTTTGCGCCAGGGAGGCCTGCTTGGCCCCAGGAGGGGTGTCCGAGTCCGCGCTCGGCAGTGGGGGAGCCGCCCGGGAGGGTCTCCTGACTGGGCAGTGTGCTGGCGCAGGCAGGGAGCTGACCTGGCTGTCTTGCTCAGTACAGACGTCCGCCTTTCAGCATGTCCCCGACACAGCACACTGCTCTCCAACCTGCCCATAAATGGGGTTCGTGTCTTAAGCAGTTAATTTAAATGACATGTTACTGCACTGGGTGTGTATGGTGAATGGGATGCACCTTGTCTTTTCTTAAAACTTGAACACTGAACACGTCCCACTGAGATCAGATTGTTTAGTTTATTCTGTCTCATTGCCAGGAGCACTTAGGATGACACACAGACGTGTAGGGTGAGCAGTAACAAAAAGGGCTGTGGGGGGTAACAGTCTGAAATGTGTGCTCCCGGGTTTTGCAGGCTTCCTGTTAAAAATATCCGGGTGGGTAAAAGAAAAGGCCCAGGGGCGGGTCTGTGCACGGGCCTGTGCGTGCCCACATTCACTGGGCACCCTTTGTGGGGTACCCTTGCTGGGATCCTACACAGCGCTAGGGAAGGGCAGGCTCTTCAGAGGCTGTAGTTTTCTCCACCCCTTTTATTGAAGGATGGCTAATTTCTCCTTCAGTCCAGGTTTTGGGGCTGATTCTTGTCTCTCTGTGGGTGGGATGTGGTCATCGTCAGTGAAGAGCCATGTACCTGATGACTTTCCCTCCTACTAGACCTCAGGAGGAGCCCACCACCTGGACTGGCTACTTCGGGAAGGTGCTCATGGCTTCCACTAGCTACTTGCCTTCCCAAGTAACAGAGATGTTCAACCAGGGCAGAGCCTTCGCCACAGTCCGCCTGCCCTTCTGTGGCCACAAAAACATCTGCGCCCTAGCCACGTGAGTAGAGGCGGCAGCCTCCCGCCCCTTTGCCCACGTTCATCCAGAGGCGGCGACTGATGTTCCGTGGAGTCGAGGGTCACATGGAGTACAGGGAGCCTTAAAAGGCACTTCATCGTCTTCAGACACGAATGCTTTTTCTGCTGTGTTCTTATTCCAGAGAGTCTCCCTCTGTCTGTGCCCGTTGAGTATCTCTAGTGTCAGTGAACATCGTCATTGGGTCGGAGCTGTGTGAGATTGCCCACACTGACCCTCAGGGCTGCAGAACCAGCCGAGGGGGCTGCAGAACACACGGGAGCTTGTGAGCCCCACTGACTTTGTCCAGGGTGTAGCTCTGAAAGTTTCATGATAGCGCTTCTTTGTGATTCTGTAAATTTTATAAACGTTATTTTTCATCCTCTTTATCCAACTGGCACAATTGAGAAAGTGTTATGGAATCACCACCCTTAGTTGTCGGAGGAACCAGGAGAGTGACCGTGCCCACCCTCTCCCCTGCGGGCATCGTGTTCGTTCCCGTCAGGACGCCCTGGGCCTCGGCGTCAGGGCCACAGTAGCACAGTGGGTGTGATCACTGTCCTCTTGCACGTACATCAGATGTCGAGCAGCTAAATTTGTGCTTGCTTTTTTGGGGGGAGGGGGGCTCTTCCTTGGCCTTGCCAAAGGCAAGGCTGCTGGTTTAATAAGAACTCTGTGAAAGTCGTGGTCCTAGAATGGGCTGCTTTCTATTCCCACTAGAATTCAGAAGATTCCCCGATTGCTGGTGGGAGCTTCCGACGGGTACTTGTACATGTACAACCTGGACCCCCAGGAGGGGGGCGAGTGCACCCTCATGAAGCAGCACAAGTAAGTTGGCCTCCCCAGCCGCGCCCCCGGCTTCCTCTGGTCGGTTTGCCCCAGGCCTGCTGTGTGCGCTGGTTTCCTTGAAGGGCAGTGTGGCCCCTGCTGTTTGGGAGCTTCCCGGCCCCTGATGTGGGCAGACGGCACTCTCCCCCCACCTGCCAGTTCCTGGTGGGGGCGGGGAGTGGCCAGTGCTCACCTGCTCTTCCTGGTGGGGGGGGGGGTGCAGGCCCTCCCCGGGTCGGCACGAATGACAGCACTGCACAGGGAAGGGATGGTCGCGTCAGCCACAGCTCCCGGCACCGTGTGAGAGCCTGTTCTCTCTCCATGAGATAGATTTTTCTCTTGGAAAAGAGGAGTTAACATTTGTTCATTGAGAATTAGCACAGTTTTGTTTTCTGATTTTGCTTTTTTTTTTAATCCAAAAGTTATGCCAATGTAAAACTTGGGTGATTGGGGTGAAGTGGGAAATACTCTATAGCAAATTCTGTTTATGATCATCAGTCTCGAAAATGAAATAGATTGTCTCACTAGGCATACATTTTTCATTAGACTTCCCATGTAGAAGTCTGAGTGAACAGCCCTGGCCAGTGTGGCTCAGTGGTTACAGTGTTGGCCCAAGCACTGAAGGGTCTTGGGTTCAATTCCCGGTTGGGGTCATGCAGGAGGCAACCAATCGATGTGTCTCACGTATGTTCTCTCTCCCTCCCTCCCTTTTACTCTCTCTAAAAACCAATGGGAAAAGCATCGTTGGGTGAGGATTAATAAAAAGAAAGTCCTTTCTTGTCTCTAAAATCAATAAAGAAAAAAAATTAAAAAGTCCAGCCGGTGTGGCTCAGTGGTTGAGCATCCACCCATGCACCAAGAGGTCTCCAGTTCAATTCCCGGTCAGGGCACATGCCCAGGTTGTGGGCTCGATCCCCAGTGGGGGGCATGCAGGAGGGGGCCAGTCGATGTTCTCTCTCGTCGATGTTTCTGTCTCTCCCTCTCCCTTACTCTGTCTCTAAAATCAATAGAGAAAGAAAGAAAAAAGTGAAGTAAAAAAGAAGGTCCGAGTGAACAGATGCGCTCACCGCAGCCGGCGTGTCACAGACGCACGCACGTGCGTGTCCTGACGAGTGGCCTTTGCCTTTCTTGCTGCAGGTCTGACCCTCGGGGCCCACAAGGCAGTGTCACTGCACCCTGACTGTCTTCGCCATTTTTGTTTTTCTCCACTTTTACCAGGTTGGATGGCAGTATGGAGACAACCAATGAGATCTTAGACTCCACCTCTCACGACTGCCCCTTAGTGACTCAGACCTACAGCATGGCTGTAGCCAAAGGTGCCCACGTGCCTGCATCTCCAACGAGGCTCGGTAAGGACTGCGACCCAGACCTGGAGGCCAGGGGTGCGGGATCTCCCCGGTGGTTCCGTGCTCTGTGCTTCACTTGTGTTGGGCGGGGCAGGGCAGTGCCCACGCAGAGGCCAGCTGTCGTCACCGGGACGGTTCTGGGCCTCCAAAGGCTGAATTCATTTTCTTCCTCTTTGAGGAAAAGTCGGCTCAGGCTGCTTTGGGTGCACAAGACTTGTGCCCTGTCTTGCTGCCTCTCTGCTAAAATACTACCCTACGCCCACCACTGCCCAGTGTTTGTCCTGGGTCCTTGCCCTCCTGTCTGTCTGATCCTTCCACAAGCTTGCATGGGACCCTCAGCCCCAGGGAGGAGGCCTGGCTGTGGCAGGGCAGTGGCCTGCACTCGGGCCCCACGCAGAAGCTGTCAGTCAGCATGCAGACACAGACGGGCCTGTCCACTGTGGCTATTCAACTCCTGTGAGCTGTCTTCCCCCCTAATCTCATCTTGCCTTCTTGGATGGTCCTGCAGTTTTGCTTGTGCCCCTTTTTGGAGTGGAGGGGCACTGAGTGCCCCGTGTCATTAGTGCTGAGCGTCCCACATTGCCAACCTGAGACACACTCCCTTCTGCTCGCTAGGAGAGCGTACGCCTGTCCATTGGGAAGCCCTGTGTTCCCTGCAGACATCTTTCTGAAAGTCAGGAATTGGGAAAATAAATGTCCTCATCTTGAGCTGCCAAAGGCTGCAGAAAGCTCATTAGTCCCAAGCGGGATCTCGTGTCTGTGGGGTGCCCTCCCATGCCCCGATCCAGCCTCGGGCATGGCCGCAGGGCTCCCTGTGCTCCGCTTCCCGCCCCTGGTGACCGTTGTCTCTTCGCAGCCTACACTGATGAGCTGGGTGCCGTGGGCGGAACATGTCTGGAGGAGGAAGCCAGCGCCCTGCGGCTGGAGGAGGACAGCGAGCATCCTCCCATGATTCTTCGGACGGACTGAACTTAACCTGTGAACTCTGACCCCAAAGCAGAGAACACTGGCTGACAGAGGACTTTGTGTTATGCTGCTATGAACTTTGAACTGAGTTGGGGGAGAGGATGGCAGAGACTTAAAAAGAAAAAAAGATTGTAGCTGTAGTCTCGTTCCCTACTGTTGAGAAATACATGGTTTTCACTTCAGTGGCTTTTAATCTGCTATGAATTTTAGCTTTTTGTTTGTTTTCTCTTTTTGCCAAAATTAACTGTTTGGTGAAGCCCTTGAAACCTCCTTGCTTTGCATGTTAATGTGCCAAGCTGGCCTAGGACAGCTCGAAGCCACCCCCGCTGCGGCCGTGCGCGGATGAGGCGCAGAGCAGGGCGGGTCTGCCCGGACAGCCCGAGGTCCCGGCTGGCGTCGGCGGCAGCCTCGGGCAGGGGTCCTCTCAGAGTCCCTCCTGGGCCATGTCCTCTGCTTTATTTTGTTAATTAAATTCTTTCCAAATTGGACTATTCTGGGATTTCTTCCATGGCGGACTTCTGGTTTTGATCTTGTTTTCCACGAGGGTGTTGACAGAGAGGTTCTGTCATTCAGACCCTTTCCTTCCAGCAGCGAGGGAGCTTGAAGGCGTGCCTAGGAGCACCAGAGCCCAGGGTCGCAGTCTCCCCTGTGTAATTAAATAACCTGGTCGATGCTTTCATCCTGTTGAACCTCCGTGTGTGTGTTTTGTTTCATTTTAGGAAGGCAGGTAGCTATTTCTACGTCCGCACAGAGCCCAGGATTGAAGTGCCGTGGTCCTGAGCTGTCCTCAGCCCCCGTCGGTGCGGGCTCCCCTCTCGTCAGGGGTAGAGACGGGGACCGAAGCCCGAGAGAGGGTGGCCATGACCCTCCTTCACGGGGAACGTGTGCCTTTTCTGCTTTAATCTTCCCAAATTGTTCAGCATGATGAGGTTGTGGTCAAAAGTTCTGGTCTTTGTCTGGCTTCCACTTGCATTTTTACAGAATTAAACCTCAGATACCTCAAATTCTGCATTCCGACACGAGGTGAAGGTTGGAGGGAATTCGAGTGGTGCTAATGGCACGAAAGGTCATCTGGACTCTGGAATGTGATGGTCAGGGACAGAGGTAAAACAGGATGCTGACTGCCCTCCCGTTGCCCCGGCGGGGTTCTGGGCCGCAGCGGGGCAGGGTGCCTGTTCCAGGCCACGTTTGTCTCCTGGTTGTAGCAGTCGAGTGGCTCGTAAAAGGCAGGAGAGGGGACTTGGCCGAACTGCCCGCCGGCTTCGTGTGTGCGTCCACGCGCCTCGGGCTGCGTGTCCAGGGGCGGGAAGGAGGCCTGAGTGAAGCGGTGCGGAGGGCGCCGTGACCGCGGCGGGGGCCTCTGGGAATGCGGGTTCTGGCAGCGCGCCGAGCAGAGGCGGAGGTGGAGTCCAGCTTTCCTCCATCGCTGGCACGTCTGTCCGGGATCCCTGACGACTCGTGCTCCCCGGTGACAGGCCGCGGGACGAGCGTCTGCGGAGCCCTGCGCGAGGGTGAGAGGGCCCGAGGAGGACATCTTCCTGTTGGACCGGGGACGTGCGCTCTCCCCTAGGACTTCCTGGCGCATCGCCCAGGGCGAGCGCTGACGGGAAAAGTGTCAGGTGCCTGGGGCAGCGGGGCCCTGAGCTAGCGTGGCCTGGTGCCTGCTTGCCGGTCTCACTGTGCCAACGTGGGGAGCCAAGTCCACTCGGCTGGTCTCGCGGTCAGAGGCCTGTGGTTTCTTTCTTCTTCCTTTGAGACTGGTGGTCAGAAGACGTGGGGATTCTCTTCCTTTTTCAACCTGTTTCCTCGACTTTCAGAGGCGCAGTTAGTGAAGAAGGTCGCCGCTGCCCTCCGCACTGAGGCCCGGCCAGGCTGGCCAGGAGGTCCGCACGGGTCCTGCCTGGTGCTCCTCAGTTGTGGCAGCTGTGTGGCCCGCGTCTGATGGACCCCGTGCACCCCAGCGAGGGAGAACTGCAGCTCTGTACGTGGTTGGCTGAGTGGCCACTGGGGATTGTCCACCTGGCTCCTGCTTCCGGGTCCATTCCCCACGCCCCTCTCCCTTGGTGGTCCTGCCCCGGCTGGAGACCCGTGCAGGACCTCAGAGGGAATCCAGCAGACCGTGTGCTGATGGGCGGAACTCAGACTACACCGATTTTATTTTTCATTGTACCGTATTTTCCAGACCTCAGAAACGATTATCTGTGGGGAGGATAGGGAGCCAAACCCAGAAGCTTACTTAGAGGACTCCTGTGGATTGGGGCCAAACCTGAGCATCTTCACAACAATGGGACCAAGATTCCAACTGAACCTCAATGCGGTCCCTGATTGATTCCCCCCTTACTGACGGCACGACTGGTGCAGGTCACCCAGGAGCCTCCGGTCCCGGGACGAGGCCATAGGAATGATCCTGCCTCAGGGTCGTGACGTGTTACCTGCATGCAGACTGCAGACACCAGGTCCGGCGCCTGGCCTGTGGCGGATGCCAAGTAAACTCAGACAGAAACTGGTCTTACCGATTGGAGCCAGTTGTTTTTACTTGTCTCGTTCCTGAGCACAGCCGGCGGGAAAGGTGAATAAGAATGTGGAGTATGAGTCATGTCGTAGGTCACATGTGGCTCCCTTCGTCCCGTCCTACGCCTGGGTTCTGAGAACAGCACGGCGTGGGGGCTGACGGGAGACTTGCTGAGTCTGGCAGACAGCACAGTGCGCCGCAGCCACCCGGGCAGGTCACCTCGTCCCCGAGCACGTCTCAGCCGGGATGGCACACGAGCTCCTGCCTCCTCGGCTCCCCTGCGTGGCCTGACCCCAAGAGGGTCCCAGGACCTTCGGATCCTGTGCTCTGCCTGCTCACAGCTCATCCGAGGGAGAGAAGAGACGGATCTTGTCTTCCCCAAGGCCAGCGGGGCCACATAACAGCAAACACCGGAAGTGCTCGGGTCTCAGCAAGGAAAACAGGACAGTCAGTGGCGGGAAGCGTGTTCCTGGCTCCTTCCCACTCCCTCGTGGTGTGATGGCGTTGGCGGACAGGAGCTGTGCCTGTTCTGTTCTCTCCTGCCCCAGGTCTCTGAAACCCTCCTGCATGCAGGGATGGCGGGGTCCCTGGAAGGCCTGTTTGCGGTCCTAGCTGGCACGGCTGAAAACCCAAATACTTTTCCTTACAAGTGTACTTAGTCTTCAGACTTGAGAGGGACAGGTCGCGGGCTCGGTGCAGGCTGTGCAGTGTCGGAGACGTGAGGACGTGTCCTCGAGACCGGTATTCTGTCTGGGAGGGCGCTTCACGCGGAACCCTCCTCGTGAGGAGCTCACTGGCCACGTGCCACGGCGGCCACTTGCCCAGCAGCCACGTTTCACCGATAAGTACTCGGCTCTTACCCAGCTCACGATCCTGGGCCCGGGCTGTACCTTTTCATTCTGTGGACTTTGCGAAGCACCAAAAAAAAGTGCCCTGTGAGGCGTGGCCAGCCCTTTCTACCCTAGTATCCGACCAGGACAGTCTGTAATTTGGAGAAATGAAACCTTTTTGAAAGCTCAGAATTTAAGGGCCCTGTTCCGATTCCTCACCTCTCTGCCGTCTGTCTTCGCTGAGCTGTGATGTAATCGTACGTCTCCGTGGCGGGACCGTGGCGGGTGTGAGTGGGTCTCGGGTGATGTCCTCCCTGCCTACCTTCCAAGCCGGTCGGACTGGAAAGGCCGTTGCTGTCACAGCTTAGAACCACATTAAGAAATGAAAGTAGCCCTGGCCAGTTTGGCTCAGTGGTTAGAGCGTCAGCCTGTGGTCCACAGAGACCCGGGTTCGGTTCCCGCTAAGGGCATGTACGTTGGCTGCAGTTTGTCCCCGGCCCTGGTTGGGTCGTGTGGGTGGCGGCCACTCGATGTGTCCCTTTCACATCGATGTTCTCTCCCTCTCTCTCCTTCCCGCTCTGAGTAAAAAATGGAAAAATGTCCTTGGGTGAGGATAAAAAAGAGGAAGGAAGGAAGGAAGGAAAGGAAAGGGGAAGGGGAAGGGGAAGGGGAAGGGGAAGGGGAAGGGGAAGGGGAAGGGGAAGGGGAAGGGGAAGGGAAGCCTGCCCTGCCCTGGCCGGTTTGGAGTGGTTAGTGTCCGCCCCTGGACCGGAGGGTTGCGGGTTCGATTCCCGGTCAATGGCCTGTACCTGGATTGCATGTTCGATCCCCGGCCCTGGTCTCTCACATAAATATTTCTCTCTCTCTCTCTCTCTCTCTCTTTCTCCCCCTCCCTCCCTCCCTTCCACTCTGTCTAAAAATCAATGGGAAAATATTCTCAGGTGAAGATTAACAAAAAGAAAAAGAAAAAAAAAACCTGTGTTCCGTTCGTCTTGCTTTTTCATTGACTCACTGCCTGCTTAAAGGCCACGTGTCATTATGTACCATTATTTAAATGCACTGTGACTCTACCTGGAATATTGTGGCAGAAAAATCAGAATCCTGCGACCTGACTGAACTCTTATTATAAAGGTTTTCATCCAGAATTGGTTTTTGTCCTTTGTGAAATAGACCCTATGCTTCTTTCTACTAGAATTCACGGCCTCGTCGGAAAGACTAGAATGTCTGACCCCACGGGGTGGTGCTGGCGTCCCGGGCAGAGGGCCAGCCTGCTTGGGGCAGGACGGGGGGGGTGCACCCCCACTCCCACTCTACTGGCCTGTGTTCCCACCAGCGGTACCCCGGCTGCAGGGCCAGCTTGGTGGCTTCTAGAAGCACATCCTGTAGGTAGAATTGCTTTGTCAAGCCCTGGCCGGTTTGGCTCAGCAGTTGGAGCGTTGGCCTGTGGACCAGAGAGTCCCAGGTTCGGTTCCCGCTAGGTGCACGTACCAGGAAAAAAAGAAAAAGAAAAAAGGGCCCTGGCCGGTTTGGCTCAGCAGTTAGAGCGTCGGCCTGCGGTCCACAGAGGCCCGGGTTCGGTTCCCGCTAAGGGCACGTACTTTGGTTGCAGTTGGTCCCTGGCCCTGGTAGGGTCATAGGGGTGGCAGCCACTCGACGTGTCCCTTTCACGTCGATGTTTCTCTCTCTTCCTCTCTCTCCCTCCCGCTCTATCTGAATAAAAAAGTGGAAAAATGTCCTCGGGTGAGGATAAAAAAAAAAATCATTGAAAAAGCTTTAAAAACCCACACAAAAAAAAAAAGAAAAAAGGAAATATCCCCTAAAACAGAATTGCTTTCCCTCCAGGTTGGAGAGTTTGTTCCTTCATATCAGTCTGAGAGACAGTTTTGTGTCCTCAATAAGGCCTGCTGCAGGGGGTGGGGCCCTGGCTCTTGGGCTGTGTCCCTTCCCATCCCTTCCCGAGACCTCAGGCTTCTCAGAGCCGCGGCCCGTCTGAGGAGACAGCGACGCACCGAGATCTCGGACGTGCGTGAGACTCCGTGAGTGGTCCCGTGTGCCGGCTGTGGTTCTGGTTCTGTACAGAGCATTCGTGTCTCTTCCCGGTGGTGCCTGACTCTGGGTCAGCGTGAAGATGTCCTGGATTCCTTCAGGGCAGCCAGGGGTGCAGAGCGGTGTGGTTGGTGCAGCTCCCCCCAGAGGAGGCCCTTCCCGGCCGGGACGCGGAGGGCTCAGCCCCAAGCCCATGGTGGGGACCTGGCTTGTCGGCACACGGAGCTCACTGTGAGGGCCCATCTCGCAGGGAGGAAGGAGCTGGCAGTGGAAAGGGTATAACTCACAGCACCTTGGAACGACACCCATG